TGGTGATGGAAGAACTTGGGAGGAACCTTCAGAACCCATTGCTTACTGACTGTTCAGGCCCCGAACATTTAGGACGAACCGATCCATCGGACCATCAAGATACTGACGTCAGCAGTTTTATTCACAAGTGGCTTGTCCCCCTTTCCTTGCTTGAAGCATTAGCGGCTGCAGATGTATTAGCCTGCCTGCAGTTGCTTCATAGACTATTCTGGGGCTGTGTTTCGAGGTGCCGATTTTGTTTTATAAGCTGGCAGAGACTAGGAAATCGAAACAATCCAGGAGCAAACTAAGCCCCTGGGATGCCGCTGAGGCTGATCGACTCTAATCCAACCAACGGTGACAACACTGGGTTTCAGCTCACTGGCAGATAGTGGCAGTGTGGGAGGAAGCAGTGGGTGAGCCGGGATTGATCATTGACACCACTGAATGGGTCCAGGGCAAGCGCCCCTTGCTGTTCAGACAGAGCATGTGAGGTTAACTTGCTTTGCTCCCGGCTGCTAGTAGTCGTCCACGGCAGCCAGCCCACAGGGGATTTGCCTGGAAAATTCAAGTTCAAGGTTTTGCTCTTGACCTTCAAGGCCTGCCTGTAGCAGTGAGGGACCTACATACCTTCAGAACTGCCTCTCTCAGTATGCCCCTGGAAGAGTTTTATGCTCAGGGAATCAGAACCTCCTGGTGGTCCCTGACCTGAGAGAGATCTGGCTGTCCTCAGAGAGGGCCTTTTCGGCCCTGGCCCCCACCTGGTAGAACTCTGTGCCAGAAAACGTCCATGCCCTGCAGGAATTACTACCTTTTCGCAGGGCCTGTAAGGCAGAGATGTTCCGCCAGGCATTTGGTTGAGGACAGCAACGGGACAGTATGGCATTTGGCACTTTCATATACTCTTCCCATCCCTCATAATGCCCCCCCCCGGAGGCTAGGGAGCTGAATTTCCCCCTGCCATCTTGGACTGCATACTGTTTTATTTATTGATCTGTTTTGAGGTAGTTTTCATGTTGGTTTTACTTTAAATTGTTTACTGCATGCTATTAGCCTGCCTGCAGAGCCAGTTTGGTGGAGTGGTTAAGTGCGCGGACTCTAATCTGGGAGAACCGGGTTTGATTTCCCCACTCCTCCACTTGCACCTGACTGGATGACCTTGGGCAAGCCATAGTTCTGATAAGAGCTGTTCTTGAAAAAGAGCCATTTCTGTCAGAGCTCTCTCAGCCCCACCCACCTCACAGGGTGTCTGTTGTGGGGAGGGGAAGGGAAAGGAGTTTGTAAGCCGCTCTGAGACTCCAAGTGAAGGGCGGGGTATAAATCCAATCTCCTCCTCCTCCTCCTCCTCCTCCTCCTACTTTCTTCTTCTTTCTTCTTCTTTCTTCTTCTTTCTTCTTTTCTGTCGTAAGCCACCCTGAGCCCTACTTGTAGGGAAGGGCGGCCTAGTAAATCTAATGTATTAAAAAAATGAATGGCCAACAAGCCCCTCGTTATAAGGTTTAATTTGCTTGGGTTAAGTAATACCTCCCCCTGGATAGCCCAGGCTAGCTCAGTCTTGTCAGATCTCGGAAGCTAAGCAGGATCAGCCCTGGTCAATATTTGGATGGGAGACCTCCTTGAAATACCAGCTGTGGGAAGTGGGGGCAGGCAATGGCAAGCCCCCTCTTGTTGTGAGAACCCCATGGGGTTTCCATAGGTCGGCTGTGACGTGATGGCAAAAAATAAGTATACCTAAGAGAATCTGCCTTTGTCCCTGTTCCTGTTCTGTAGTTACAGAGTGTATTGCCTGTAGAGGGGGGTCTTCACGGCTGGTTCCACACTTCCCATATTCCCCCCTCCTTAAACGCTGGCCATGCCCAAGCCTGGTACCAGCCCAAACAGGTGGCGCCGTGGTTGTGACTCCTGCATCCCCTATGCTTGCAGGTGAAAAGAAAATGAGGAGCTGAGATTGTCATTCCAAACACCTTACCCACAGCTGATGGTCTTCTGCTTCGGTGGTTGTCCTTCCGCCAAGAGTAGTTAGCCAAACAGTCACCGCCAACCAATTGAACCGTTTCCACTGGAGCCCACCCAAGAGGAGAAAAACACCCCCAGGGAAGGTGGGAAATGTTCCTGCCCAAAGGCTAATCAAGGCTACACTCAAAGGAGAAAAAGACCCGTCCTTGTCTTTCTAAAGAAGGCAAAGCCAGATTCAGTCAACTGCTTTGCCCAGTGGATAAGTACCTGCCTGCCCCGACAAACAGGGGGAGCTGAATAATAGGCATTTGTAGCTTCCTGTTCACTTTCCATGTTTCTCTTTTTATAAATCTCATGTGTTCTGAACCCAAATCCTTGAGAACATGAAACTTCAGCTGAGGAAGTCCACAATGGTCCAAAGGAAGGGTCAATCCACCCACCACATCTGTAGGGACAGAGGGACCCCTTTTGCTGCAACTTGTTCATAAGATCACTGGAGGACATTTTACAAGCCCGGGTAAAGAATAAGCTAAGATTAAGCCATGATGTCTGCATTCAGACATTAACTAACTGTAGTTAATATACCAACTTAGGGTTGCCAAGTCCTTACCTCAAGAAGAGCGGGGGAGTCCAGCGCTGGTCCAGGAGTTCCCCCGCACCTGCGCGCCGCGATTACATCACCTGGAAATGACGTAATCGCATCGGGCATGTTGGGGGCGCCCCCAATGTGCCCGACGTGATCACGTTGGCGACATGCTCATGCCGGGGACGTCGCACGCTTTGGGGGTGGGGTTCCCCCCCGGGGCCTGATCCGCCGACGGCGGGTAATGGGCCTCTCGGGCAGGGGTTTCCCCACCCCCTGGTGGGACTTACCAAGTCTATACCAACTACAGATCCCAATTTAATGGGCCTCTCAGGCAGGGGTTTCCCCACCCCCCGGTGGGACTTGGCAAGCCTATACCAACTGCAGACCCCAATTTAATGGATCCTAATTCACCATACTTAGAGGAGTGGCCTGAATTCAGACAATTACACCAAACCACAGTTAGTTGAATTAACCCTGGTTTTGTGCAAACTTAGAACTGAGCCTGTGCATGAGCTGGTTTTGACACAACCCAGTGTTTAAGCATGATTCCTTAAGCAGGGTTCAGATTCCAAATGTATTGTGAATTTGAGATTGGGTTTGCCAGTCCTCTTCCCAGAACGGCCCACGTGTAGCCATACCCACAACAAACACTTGTCACCTTGTAAGCAGAGATGTCGGAGGGTAGGAAAACTTCCTTAACCATGGCTTTCTTGATCCTTCACTGCAGTTCCACATCCTGAGATAGAATAGTAAGGAAACAGCACTGGCATGTGCCATCTTTGGTTTAAATTGGCAATTCAAATGTAACACTTGTGTGTGTGTGTGTGTGTATTAAGTGCCATCATTTCTCTTCAAACCGAAGGCAACCCAATGAATGAATGGCCTCCAAAATGTCCTGTTGTTAACAGCCTTGCTCAGGCCTTGCAAACTGTGGAAGCTGTGGCTTCCTTTGTATGTATGTATGTATGTATGTATGTATGTATGTATGTATGTATGTATGTATGTATTTATTCGATTTATACCCCTCCCTCCCCACCGAAGCAGGCTGAGGGTGGCAGAGTCCGTCCATCTCATGTTGGGTCTTCCTCTTTTCCTGCTGCCTTCAGCTTTTCCCAGCTGGGAGAACCGGGTTTGATTCCCCACTCCTCCACTTGCACCTGCTGGATGACCTTGGGCAAGCCGTAGTTCTGATAAGAGCTGTTCTTGAAAAAGAGCAGTTCCTGTCAAGAGCTCTCTCAGCCCCACCTACCTCACAGGGTGTCTGTTGTGGGGAGGGGAAGGGAAAGGAGTTTGTAAGCCGCTCTGAGACACCTTTGGGTAGTGAAGGGCGGGGTATGAATCCAATCTCTTCTTCTGCTTCATTATTATTATCTTTTCCAGCGACGAAAGTACGATGGCTTCAGTTTAGCCATTTTAGCTTCAAGGGAGAGTTTGGGCTTGATTTGATCCAGAACCCACTTATTTGTCTTTCTGGCAGTCCACGGCATGCATAAAACTCACCTCCAACATCATATTTCAGAGGAATCTACTTTCTTGATAACATGAAACTTTGGTGTAGTGGTTAGGAATGCGGACTCTAATCTGGGAGAACCAGGTTTGATTGCCCACTCCTCCTCTTGCAACTGCTGGTGTGACCTTGGGTCAGTCATAAGTTCTTTCAAAGCTGTTCTCTCAAGGGCAGTTCTCGAGAGAGCTCTCTCAGCCCCACCTACCTCACAGGCAGTGTTCCCTCTAAGCTGAGTTAGTGTGAGCTAGCTCTCAGTTTTTTTAGCTTCCCACTCACATATTTTTGTCTTAGCTCGGGAAGGATGGCTCCAGAGCAAACTGGTTTATGCAGCCAAATGGCTCGCTCACAACTTTTATGCCAGTAGCTCACAAAGTACAATTTTTGCTCACAAGACTCCACAGCTTAGAGGTAACATTGCAGGGTGTGTGTTGTGGGGAGGGGAAGGGAAAGAAGATTGTAAGCCACTCTGAGACTCCTACGGGTACTGAAGGCGGGGTATAAATCCAGTCTCCTCTTCCTCCTCGTCCTCCTCCTCTTTCTTCCTGTCATCCTTTTCTCATTGCCCAGTTTTTACACCCATACATAGTAATAGGTAATAGTATGGCATGAATTAACTTGATCTTGGTCGCCAGTGACACAGCCTTACGCTTACGGATGTTTTCTCGCTCCTTCATAGCTGTCCTTCCCAGTCTCAGTCTCCTTATGATTTCTTGGTTGTGGTCTCCCTTTTGGTTGATACATATACCAGGTAACCGTGGTTAAAGAAAGCAAATCCTGGCATAGTGCCCTGTCTTCACATGAACACAGAGCTGAAAATAAATGGAAGTGGTCATATTATTCTTATTTTGGTTGCGCAGATTAGTGAGTGCTAAGGATATATAAAATTCAGGAGACGGTATGGCATTATTATTTTGTTTTTTAAATTAAAAAAAAACCCTCTTGAACCGATTGCTCTTTCTCTCATCTTGACAGAAAAGAATGCAGAAGGCTGCGTTAAAGCCGGTTATCTGAAATACAAAGAAGAACCATCCAAATTACTTTCTGGAAATAAGTTTCAAGAGCGCTACTTTGTTTTGCGGGAAGGAAATCTTTTCCTTTACAAGGATACAAAGGTACCAGTGCCTATTTCAAGGCCTTTTGAAATCATGGCCAATTATGCTTTAAGCTTCTTCCCTTTAACATAGGAAAACAAGGAGGGTTTGACAAGTGACAGAGAAAAAATTTTTTGTACTGTTTGCCTGTGCGTTTGCGAGTAAGTAAACAATTGGGTTTATGGCAGTCGCTGTGTTAAAGTGAAGGTTTTAAAAAATGGATTTATGCAGCTTTGTTCAGCGGTGTCTTTTAATGTAGCACTTAATTCAAACATACGCGATGAGTGGAATACAGACTGTGTTGCCAACACTTTTTAATAAGCGTTCTCACTTACGTGTGGGATTTGAATGGAGCCTGTTTGTTTAAGCACAGAGTGGTGGTTTAATTCCTTACCTCACTGCATACAGCACCATCAGTGAGTCTCGCCAAACTAAAGCACAAGACAGAGAAGGATCCAATCTGAGAGGGTCACAATGAGACAATCCAGACACAAAGCAGTTGCCGTAGAAAAGGGGGATGCGTCCCATGTGAAAAACGCTGCAAGACAATGCAGTTGATCAAACAGTTAAGAGAGTTATAGAGTGGGAGTAGTCCAGACAGGATTCAGAGCACTGCGAGAAGGATTGAAGGGGCTGCGCGAGTAGCCCCATGGCACAATAGTGTTGGTGATTGAGTGTCAAGCACAGCAGAAAGGAAGGAAGACTAAGCTGAATTCAGCGGGGTCCATCTGTAAAAGTCAATGGGGAACCGAGGCAAATTAACCCGCGAGTCGATCTGCTAGTCGAGAGGTGCATTTTCCAAGACAGCTTAACCGACTTGATTATCACTGCTGTACAAAGACTTGTCCCACCCCCAGTGTCCCCCATCACATGTTTTTTTTCTAATAAGAGGGATGGTTTTTTTTACAACATTTACAAAAGCCTTACCTTCTAGGAATTTTAGGAATTTTTCACCCCAGTGAATGGATCTCAAGTTCAGGCTCAAGCAGATGCTATGGGTTGGGTACCATGGATCTTTGGCGGTTAACATCGGTGCTTTCCGTAAGTGCAAGGCACCTTTCTTTGATACAGGATGTTCTTCTGCTAGCGGAAGAGCCACTTGCATCAGACAAAGGTGTCTGGCATCGAACGAAGGTGAAACCGTTGGGACCCAACCCATGGACAGAAACAAATGTAATCCTGGTTCATACATTCCTTGGGAAGGGCTGTCAACAAGAGCATCAGCTGAAGCTTCATCACATCAAATGTCAACTGCACATGCTGCTTCACAATCAAAGCATGGGTCAAAGAGGGCTTCCATGCACAAGGTGTTCATCGAGGAGGTGCTTGTGCTGGTCTTCCACCATGAAAAGTGAGCTTCAGAGATATCCAAGGAATATATTAAATGAGGGTCCAGCGTGGGAATACTCCCATCTCAAATTCAAGGTTGTTTGAATTCAGGTGGAATCAGCTGAGATGAGCTCTTAGGCTTTGGTTGGAGACCGAAACACTGTTCTGTTGATTGGACAAGAGCGGACTCCTTTATGACCTGAGCAATGCAGAGGGTTCTTGTTCCTTACCTACCACTTTCTCATCTTTATACATTCTGTGCCTGTAGGGGAGTGCAGTTGGGTATTGCTGCTCTGATATTTGGAGTATCAGGTTGGGTCAGCAATATCTGATACTGCAACTTTCTTCATGACACAAGTCCTGAATCAGACATTGGGTTCTTCCACATTCTCATTTTTGTCACTTCTGCTTCCCTATTGCTTTGGTGTGTGTGTGTGTGTACCCGCCCCCTTATGCATTTTGCTCCCTTTAGGGGTTGATTCAATATTGCGTCACTGTATGTCTGGCATGCCTTCCCGCAGATTTAAACTGCAGGTTTTTATGCCAGACATACAGCAATGTAATATTGACTCAACCACTAGAGGGAGCAAAACATGTGCAGAAAGAATGAAGCAATTGGTACAAACAAGTGATGAAAATGAGAATTCAGAAGAGCCGATTATCACTCCTGGTAATGACAGATTCAAGAATCCTCCTGGGGGGCAGGAGCGGCTACAAGGGAGGGAGTGCTTTACATCTGTTTGCCAGGACCTGGGTCCCTTTACATTTAAAAAGGCTGTTGTTGTTTTTTTCTATGGGAAGACCTGGCCTCCAGAACAAGGAGGCCCGGTTGATACCCATATAACATATTGGCCTTTTAAAATCTAAAGGTACCTAGAGGTGAACAAACACCTGGTGGAGGGTAGACCCAGCCTGTGGAGGACAGACCTACTAACCATTATTTCCCATCGGTGATAGAAAAGGCCTTGGGAGGCTTCGGTCTACTCCAGAGCTCACATAGAGGCCTGCCCACTGTACCTCCGGTGTTGGGCTGCGGCAGGTTCTGATGCAGATGGTAGTACCTTAAAGGCGCAGAGAGGCCTGAAACCAGTGGGGCCAGCACTGTGCTAGTCCCTGTGCTTGTTTGGAGGAGCCTTTTCCTATGGGCAGTAGATCTGCTGTCTGCATGTCGGATATCTGGGCCACCAGCTGTTTGTTGGTGTCTGGGTCCCTTTAGACAGTAAAGGGCCATTGCCATCTCTGGAAGTAGATGGCCTCCCAGCGCTAGATGCCAGGTCTTTCCACAGAAAATAGTGGCCTTTTAAAATCTAAAGAGAGGAGCTGCGGTGGCTCAAGAGGTTAAGACGCTGAACTGCAGGCTGTGGATGGTCGGTAGTTCAGCAGTTCGAGATCCGAGTATGCCGCATGACGGAGTGAGCTCCCGTCTCTAGTTCCAGCTCCTGCCAACCTAGCAGTTCGAAAGCAAGACATTGCAAGTAGATAAATAGGTACCCCTTCGGTGGGAAGGTAACAGCGTTCCGTGCACCTTGGTGTTTAGTCGTGCCGGCCACATGACCACGGAAACATCTTCGGGCAGCGCTGGCTCTTCGGCTTGGAAACGGAGATGAGCACCGCAACCCTAGAGTTGGATTCGACTGGCTTTCGAGCAAGGGAACCTTTGCCTTTACCTTTAAAATCTAAAGGGGGCCATGTGCTGACAAACAGATCTCCTTCCCTTCCTTTTAATTCTGCATGGATGGGGGGAGCAGATTGTTGTTTTGGTTACACATTGGGGGTTATGGTTTCCGTATTTCTGGAACAATGACAGTACTTCTGATAGTTCATGGTAACAATAAGCATGCCCCCCCCCCGACTTCCCAAAACAGAATTAAAACACTAATTTCTTAAGTGCGCTCCCCTACTGAAGAGAACACTGGATTCTAATCTGGAGCTCTCATGGGCTCAGTTTCCATATGGCGATTATATAAGACAAACAATAATAGTTAAAATAAAGCTCTGTAATGCTGAAACTATTTTGATTAGCAGTCTTTCAACAAAACGTCTTGAATATATGGGCCTTCTGTAAAGGCTGAAGTATCTTGTATCAGTTTGAATCTTCCGGGGGGGGGGGCGGGGGGTTAGTCCTTTTTAAGTGCTCCAGCAAAGCATGTGTTAATATTATAACTGTTAATTGCATTTTTCATTAAAATCTTAAACTATGTCCCTTAATTGGCATCACCTCTGGGTGTAAAAAATGATGTCTAATTATTTAGTAGTAAAACCTAACGCCGGTCCATTTGCCAAGTATAAATTGGCACCTTTAAAACTTGTGCACATGGAACTGTGCCCATGAATGAAGCCTTAATTAGTGCTTTGGCAAGTGTTTATCTCTGGATTCGTTTCCTAGGTTGCTTTTTGAATTTTGCATCAAGTTGTTACCATTCATAAGTTTCCCCACTCCCCTGATGTTTCACCTTTTTATAGTGGTATATGTGTATGCACTAGAAGAAGGATTAGAAAAAGTGTTTTCTGAGTGGTTAAAGAATTAAAACTCTCAAAACAACCAAAGACTAAAGTTGCCCTTTTAAAAATACCTGAATCACTTGGAATTCTCACATCGGTTGCTTTAAGAATGGAGCTATGTTTTACAAAGAAGTTAGAGCTGCCATTGAAAAACCCAACATTGAAGTCCCTCCCTGTATGCTGTAATGCCTAGCTGAACTTGCCTGTGTTCAGAAGTCATTGTTTTGTGCTTTATCTCCCTGTTGTTGCACCAGCATCACTGTCCGGCTGATTTCGCACAAGGAGCTGCACCGACGTCACGCCTCCCTTTGCCCCGTTTCCATTGGCCAATTTCCCACTCGAAGCCATGTGGCCGTATTTTGACCCACAGCTTCCCCCGATTTCCCCCGCGGTTTCCTAATCCTCAAAAAACAGGATCACGAAACCGCGGGGAAAATTGGGTGAAGCCGCGGGTCAAAATGCGGCCGTGCGGCTTCGAGTGGGAAATTGACCAATGGAAACGGGGCAAAAGGGAGGCGTGATGACGGTGCAGCTCCTTGTGCGAAATCAGCCTCAGATACTGGCAGAAGCAGAGAAGAACACATCGTGATAAGAGCAGGACAGTATGTAAGTTGAACTCAACAGGGAATTGTTGCTTTACATGGTAGCCGATGGGTTGGAACCTGCTAAGGATTTCCGTAGATGGAAAGGGTTCCCATTTGTGGACCATGGCTTCCTCATCGTCCCTTCCCTGCTGGTGCTCTAAATGTCCTCTGAAATGGCTCCTGGGTAGACAAGGGACCCCTAGCAGCATGAGGAGGGAGTCGGAGGCCTGCCACAGAAGTGAGGATCAGCAGAAATCTCCTGCTTCCATCCACGGAAATCCTTTGTGGCGCTACACCTTAAGTCTGTGTGGACTTCACAGTGCCACGTTTCCAGTCACTTCTCGTGCTTCCCTTCCCTTTCTTATTTGGGTCTACTCCCTCCCCACCCTCTGCAATGCATTGCTTGTTTCAGACTCGGCAGACACAAGCCATCCAAAGCCGATGATGTCGGGATGGATATTACACTTAGTTCCTTTCGCACAGGATTACATTAATTGCCCCAAAATGCTATATTATGTTCCTAAGTTATCACTTTGAAACTCGTTCGCTTGTGCATACCAAGATTAATAAGCACATTTCTTTTGCACGAACGGGTGCTTTTATTACTGCGGCGGAATTGAGTTAGGAATCATTTTTTTGGAAGTCTCGTAAGGCAAATTAGCCACAATATACCGAGGAAACTGAGAACACGGAAGGGAGCGGACTGGGCCTAAAAGGATGTGATATGTGGAATTCTGGACTGAAGCATCTTTCATTCCGGGGCACGCTCAAGAAACGGCATTGAGTGGGCGAGGAAGTTGAGCCTGCCACCAAGTAGGGCCTTAGATTCTCAGTGGATCTGTCTCATCTTTGCAAAGGACAATAGGTTGTGCAAAAACGGTACAGATCTGTAGTGCAATCCGAAACAGAGTTACGCCTATGGGCTTAGAACGGTGTAACTTTGCTTAGGGCTGTACTGTTAATCTGCCACATCCTTGGAGAAACAGATCAGTGAGGACAAACTATTTCCTTACAGTGTAGGCGTTTGCCTTAGAGAGAAGTGCTGGTTTTTTAGTGATGCATACAAACCAACCATCTTCAGTTTTCTTCCTCCTACAGATTGTCTGGTTTCTCTCCCACCTGCCTTGTTTTAAAAAAACACAACATTTTACTTTCCAGCAATTTCAATTCTGATTTCGCCATCTGTCCTCTTTTTGCCTGGGCAGCCAGCCCCCTTGTTTGTTTGTTTACTTTTTTAAAAAAGCAAAACTCATTCATCTTTATTCCGTTTAGCATTCACACAGTGCCTGATTTGTAAAAACGCACAATCAATTCTTAAAGGTTGTCAACCCAGATTGGAGAGGGAGGTAAGGGGGTGACAACACAATTCCCAGCCAGTCAGTCCTGTGCAGGAGAATAAATATGCCTGACAGAAAGGGAGTGGATGCACTTTTCAAAATCATAAGTCATGGGTGTTTTACTGTACCTTTTGCACACACCCTATATTTTGTATGACCTTTAAAAGGAACTTCCAAGATTGCAGTGCTTATATTTTGCGGCTCTGCACTTCTCGATTCTTGCCAACTCCCATTTTTCCACTCACCTTTAATCACTATTCTTCAAAAGGTAAGCCTGTCTATAATTGCCTTTGTACCCTTTTTCAATAGTAACCAGTTGTAAGCAAAGAATAAAAGTAGCTGTGTTTCAGCCTTCGGTCCGAATTGGGTCCCCGGAACAAAGAGTTGCTGTTGCTTGCTAACGGGATTTTAAATGAAAGCCACCTTTACTAAAACGGACATCCGAAAAAGGAACAAAGATGGTGTTTCTCAACAGTATTTTTGTTTGCCTGCAATTTCCCCACCCACCCCTTCGTCTAAACTTAGTAATTCCTGCACTTCACAGAGCGTGAAGCCGGAGAAGGTGCTGCCAGTTAAATCGCTGAAGCTTTATCTTGGAGTGAAGAAGAAAATGAAGCCACCAACAAAGTAAGAAGAGCGGGAGAGCGTTTCTCTTTCTTTGCTGCCAGAAGTGTTGGTGTTCCTACGAGAACACGAACGTAGAACTCTTAGCAGCTGCAGGAATCAGGAAACTAATCCGTGCCCCTCCGGCAGGCCACATTAGAATGCCTCCCCCTAGTTTTAGTTCTGTTGCCAAGAGAGAGTCTCCTCCAGTGCTTGTGTGTTGTTGCATCTAGCCTAAATTCTGGTGATGAGCAGATTCGCAGGGTGGAGTACAGTAAAATGCCCATTTGTTATTTGTGGTGTAAAGCGCTGGCATCAACATTTCCTTCTCCACGGCTGCTGATGACTTTGGCTGAATGCGACTGGAATACTGTACCAACAGCAGTTGATGTCTTGCAGGCCTCAGTGTTCCTCTTCACATTGGCATTTTCAGTTTTGGGACTCACCATAGTTAGTGTTTCTTTATCACCACCAGCACTTCCATTAACCACAGTGAGCCTCAAAGCACAGTTGGAAATAATGGGTTTGAAGTAAGTTTGCAAACTGTATTTTGGGCTCACCATAGTTCATGAAATGCCGGTGCCAGCAGCACTGAGACAGAAAGGAAGGATAGCGTGCCCTGACAGGGCCTAGGGTTGCCAGCCTACAGGTGGGTCAAGGAACGAATAAATATACACTGCAAGAAACCTTTGTAAATTAAACTTCTGTAAATTTCTGTGTTCTGTTTATAACTCTCATTCTATAAAGTGCATAACTCTCATTCTATAAAGTGCATTGTGTATTATTATAACATCCTAATCAGGTATATATATTCAGTACATTCAGTATAACAATAACAATAACACTCAGTTCATATATAACAATAACACTCAGTCCATATGAACTGAGTGTTATTGTTATACTGAATGTACTGAATATATATACCTGATTAAAGGTAACGGTAAAGGTTCCCTTGCTCGAAAGCCAGTCGAATCCAGGGTTGCGGTGCTCATCTCCATTTCAAAGCCGAAGAGCCAGCGCTGTCCGAAGACGTTTCCGTGGTCATGTGGCCGGCATGACTAAACACCAAGGCGCATGGAACGCTGTTACCTTCCCACCAAAGTGGTACCTATTTATCTACTTGCAATTTCTTGCTTTCAAACTGCTAGGTTGGCAGGAGCTGGAACTAGAGACGGGAGCTCACTCTGTCATGCAGCAACTCGGGTCTCGAACTGCTAAACTACTGACCTTCCATGGCCTGCAGTTCAGTGTCTTAACCACTTGAGCCACTGCAGCTCCTATACCTGATTAGGATGTTATAATAATACACAATGCACTTTATAGAATGAGAGTTATAAACAGAACACATTAATTTACAAAAGTTTCTTGCAGTGTATATTTATTCATTACTTGACTTTCCTAACACTGCAGCTCGGGTTGCTAAACCTACGGGTGGGGCCTGGAAATCTCCCACTAGTGCATTTGATCTCCAGAAGATAGAGATCAGTCCCCCTGGAGAAAATGGCTGCTTTGGAGGGGGTGGACTCTATGGCCTTGTACCCTGATGAGGCCCCTCCCCTCCCCAAACCCCGCCCTCCCCAGGCTCCACCCCCAAAATCTCCAGGAATTTTGCAACGCAGAGCTGGCAACCCTAACTGGGCCTTTTCTTGGAATATTATTTCTGGTTGAAATAGTCTTTGTGAAATAGTCTTAGAGTCTTTGTACTCTAAGTTATGCCAGTGCTCAAAGTAGGTGTGGGTTGCTACCCCCTTTCATTTTTCAGTGGGTAAAAACCACTCTGAGATTAAACGTTATACCTAGGGTTGTCAGATCCCCCGGTGGGGGCAGGGGTCCCCCGCCACCAGCACTCCCTCCCCCCATGGATCAGCTGGCCGGTGGGGTATCTTTACCTCAAAAAGACAGAGGCCCAGGCTACATTTCAGAAATATGCCTATGTCACTTCCAACATGACCTGGAAGCGATGTCATCATGTTGGGGACTTCGGGGCAATGTTCTGGGATTTGGGCAAAAACTCTATGGTAGAAGGCAAATTTACCATAGAGTTTTTTGCCCAAATACCAGAACGTCACCTGGCATTGCTGAGTGATGATGTCACTTCCAGGTCATGTTGGAACTGATGTAAGAATGTTGCTGCAATGTCGGCTGGGCCTCCCTCCTGCTCCCAGTAAGTATTTCCCCCATCCCCTGCTGGTTGCCAGGAGGGACCTGCCAACCCTAGCTATACCAATATTGGAAAAAAGACACAAAATATTTCGTGGGAAATAAAGCTGAGCTAGGAGCTTCAGCTTTTAGAGGAAGATGAAGCTTTCCACAGGGCAAGCTAGATTGAAATAGCTTGGTTCCTATTCTGTCTAGGCTTGCCTGGGCCAGAGATGTTAATGGAACAAAGCTTGGGAAACACAAGCACTGAAAAGGCAGGCAGGAAGAGAGACTGTTTCCTCTTCCTCTAATAACTGAAGGTCCCAAAGGCCCATGTCTACAAGGGCCTGTCTCTCCCAGCTTCACAAACAGCTCTAGTTCAGGGAAGGCTAGAAGGTTGGAGCTTGTGCAGAATAGCTGCAAACGTTTTGAAGGAATGTCACACTTAGCGTTAAGCCACGTTCATTAATATTTTTGTCTTAATTTCTAATGACTCTGTTCTCAGCGATGACTGATAACTGATTTCAGCTCGTGGATTACCCAATCTAAGCTTGTTGGCAAATAGCATTCACGCTGCATTTGCATGCCTAAAAATTGCCAATGAGGTGCAGACTAAACGGAGTCTGGCTTCATCTGAGATGAAACCTTCCTGCCTCCCTTTCTTTCTCCAACTTAGAGCACTGGCTGTAATTTTGTTGCATGGTACCGTTATGCTGTTTTACCTTAGTGGTCGTAGCACGTATGAAGGGGGCTAGGTTGAAAGCGAGACATTGTCAAAAGTCCTCTAATGAGCTAGCCAGCCCAGATCTGACAACCAGCACGAACTTTGGGGGGATGGGAACATACAAATAAGTGTCATTCCATTGGGGGGGGGGGGGGGCAGTTTGCTAAAGTATGGCACCAAAGCCATGACATCACTTCTGAGTGATGCTTATTTTCCCCCCATTCTCCCCCCTCCCACTGCTCTACGGTGGTGTGGTGGTGGGTGCGGGGAACTGGGACTTCCGGGCAGAAGGTCTCCCACCATAGCAGGAGACCTGTCATCCCTATCCCCTAATAATGCATTGGGGTCCTTACTGCTGCATTTCTAAAATACAAGCCAATCACGGGGTGGGGAATAAAAATTAAATGGCATTCTATTTAATCTTAACCATTTTCTTTATGACTATCTTAAATATGCTATTATGATGAGTCAGGGAGCACAGACATTACGAATAACAATGTAATAAATATGGCTTTATGGCTAGCATGTGAATCCCGGAGCATATTCCTTTCTTATGTTTTAGTTTATGCACAATAAGCACGGTTGGTGTACTTTTTCTTTTTTCTTTTTTTGCAGTTGGGGTCTCACGCTGTGTTCTGAAAAGCACCACTGGTATGTGATCAGTACCAACCTGATTCCCTTCCCCCTTTCTTATATCATGAAATCTCTGGCTTGCTTTCCATTAAGGGAGGCTCTGTTATAGCAAGTGCTTAATGTTCCTGAGCTGATGACAGCAGTTTAGGAACATTATCATATGCATGAACCCATGGGTTGGTTTTGCAAACTGATTGGTATGTCCAGTTGGAACCTGTGCCTGTCCCATGGATTATTATTTGAATTCTGTCCTTACATGGTGCTCCCAGCAAACTATTTGCTGAACTTCAGAGATGCAGCCGTGCTTCCAGTCCACCTGATCAACTGCACTGCACCAGTTCCTGTGTGTCCTGTTTGCCCCCAAGAATCTAAAGGAGTAAAACCTCATTTGCATGCACTTAACCATACTGAATTCTGTCTAATGTGCATGCGAAGTATGATAGTGTTTATATGCTGCTCACGGCATACATATATCTATATGCTACTGTGTGTACGGGACTCACAGCAGCTCCCAGTCTAAAACAACAGTGTACCGAGTCAAAATCCAAACACATCAGGACACCCATTACAGACACTGCTATTACTGCAAACCTCCAACTAGCAATCCATCTCTTCTTGATGTCACTCATGCCGCAAAAGCTTATTTCAACACTTACACAACAAATGTCTAGAGCAGCAACACTATATTCCTCCCCCCCCAACACCTACTGATAACAAAATTGGAAAACCTATTCAGTCTGCGAGCCAAGATGGCAGCAGTCTCTCCCTTCCCAGTCCCAGTCGGCAGGTCTTGATGCCATATCTAAGATGGGATTGGAGTTGGTGCTCTACAGAAGGAGTTATGAGCTGTCTACCTGCAGGCCAAGTAATATGTCCAGATAAAATCTCCATCTCTTCCACCTCCATTATTGCTATTACCTTATTATAATTGTTTGTCATCTGCGAAACAGTTACAGCACTGATACACTAACTTCAACTGGATTGGCACCGCATATGTAGAATTCAATGTGGCCACTGGACCTGAATTAATTTTAATATGTTTCTCATAGGTATTTATGTTGTGATGGACAGGATTGTCAGCTGGAATGGTTGAGCAGCCTTTTTATTGCACAGGTACTATTGTTTTCTGTTATTCATAATGAAGAAGCCAGGGGTTCTTGAATATGGATGCATGCTGTCATGTATCTAGCTATATATTTTTGTGTGACTACACACACACACACACTCACTCATTAAAACAAGAATTTTACCCGTTCAGAATACAAGTTGCAACCTACCATGGACATCTTTCGAAATAAAATCTCAGCTGTCACGCACTTAGGTGTCAATCGAATTCTCCAAAATATCCATAATTCGGTTTTGCAATATTTCCCATTTTATGTCGGTTGTTTTCCTCCCAGTTTAGACCCTTACTGAGCTTCATGGAGGCCCTCTTTTTCTTTGACACCGATGGTACTTGAGTGTTTGTTTATTTATTTGTGTGATTTCTACCCCGCCGTTTCCCGCCGAAGCGGGCTCAGGGCGGTTCACAACATAAAATCATACAATAAGATACATCATGTAACAGATTATCTCTAAAAGTCTAAAATTACACCGATTTAAAATTAATAGGTGAAGTAACAATCTTTGGGTGAGGTAGCAATCCTTGGGTCTTCTCCGGAGTTTAATAGATAAGTCTGCTCGGTGATGATTAAGCCAACAACTCAGATAATTTAGGGAGTTTGAGCAGATTTTGAACAGGAGGGGCAATTATGTTGGACGTCTGCTGCCTCAACTGCCTGTAAGGTGGAATATGTCCACCTTACAGGCCCTGTCTAGGCCCTGTCTAGTTGATCACTCCTGTAGCTTATGAATCGGTGTTTTGGTGATATGGCTTTCTTTGAACTTGACCTTTGAACTTGGTCATGAATGTGAAATAAACTCAGGGCAATCCCATTAGTTGGGGGGAGTAAACTTCCTGAATCACCTTAAAATCTTTGTGAATTTGCAAGCACTGGATCCTGGATGCGCTAACGGGTCAAGAGTCTTCTCAGAACTGGTCCCATTTGTCTTCTCCAAAGAGAAGCAACAGTTCTAGTTACTATGGAAACCTCCATCAATCGTATACAGGCATGGAGACCTCTCAGGGGAATGAGCCTAAGTAGTGTCATACTGAAGAGGTTCATGGACTATGGATAACAGATGCATAAAAGTCACACTCATATGTATCTTAGCAACTCTGTTCTACTCCTGTTGACATAAGAGCCTCAAGAAATAATCTGCTGAAACTTCTAGAGGCAAAGATGTGAAGTAATGGCTCAGCAATCACACACCAACTACTGAAATGCAGCCTGATGGAAGCAATTCATACCTTCGGGGGAGTTTAATTTAGTGGTAAAATGCGTTTTTCCTTATCCTCCTTCAGTATCCTTCCAAATACCCTTGTTTTTCGTGTCAGTCCTCCCATTCCTGATGGTGCTGCTTTCCCAGCCAGTGAAAGAGGTCTTTTTGTGTGTGTGTGTGGTCACTCCGCTGTTTTTACAAGCTAATATCTTCACAAATTAGCAATTAATGGCTGAAGTAATGAGAAACATCTGACTCGTTCCCAAGAAGAAAAGCTGGTTTTGCTATAATTTGAGAACGAGTAATAATGCACTGTGGCGAAAACGCCTCTGCTTGTGTTCTGATAGACTGTTGTATAACCTCAGCTTAAATCTGTGTCCCGGAAGAATTTGATGTTGGTCTGAAATGTATTTTTCACCCGCATTGTGGAATGAGGGGAACTTCTGTTGTAGGAGTCTGTGAAAACGGACCGTTCAGCGTCTCATTCCCATAATGGTCATTATCAGAATTACAACGCACTCTTCCTGTACAGATGCCTCCATCTCAGGAGGATCGGCTTAATAGCCAGTATTGTTTGGCTGAGCAGATTGACTCGAGCCCAGATGTTAGCAGTCACTCTGAATTAATATTCAGCCTTTTCTTTAATACTACCAACATCTGTGCATTAATTGATAGTGCATTTCAGCTAATAGGCAAAGAGAACTTACGACTTTCCCTTTCATTACACATGAAATATCATTAGCTACTCAACTGCCTTAGTAATGGGGGGGGGACTTAGTAGTATGGCTGAAGTGTCATCTGATAAAGTCTTCTATTACACCTTCTCTACTGGTGGCTCAAGTGGTTAAGACGCTGAACTGCAGGCTGTGGAAGGTCGGTAGTTCAGCAGTTCGAGACCTGGGTGCCGCATGACTGAGTGAGCTCCTGTCTCTAGTTCCAGCTCCTGCCAACCTAGCAGTTCGAAAGCAAGAAATTGCAAGTAGATAAATAGGGACCACTTCAGTGGGAAGGTAACAGCGTTCCGTGCGCCTTGGTGTTTAGTCATGCTGGCCACATGACCACGGAAACATCTTCGGACAGCGCTGGCTCTTCGGCTTTGAAACGGAGATGAGCACCGCAACCCTAAAGTCGGATTCGACTGGCTTTTGAGCAAGGGAACCTTTACCTTTACTGGTGGTTCACTTCAAGCCAGGCTTCAAAGTTATCTTTCCCCCATCCCTGCCTTCAGGTTTGATGTACTATGACTTTGTTGTTGTTGTTCAGTCGCACAGTCGAGTCCGACTCTTCGCGACCCCATGGACCAGATCACGCCAGGCCTTCCGGTCTTCCGCAGTCCTCTGAAGTTTGCTCAACTTCAGTACTATGCTCAATTTCAGTACTATGACTACTGTTGTTTAATCTATTTATTTATTTACTTACTTATTTATTAAATTTGTATCCCGCCCTCCCCGCCATGGCAGGCTCAGGGCCGCTTACAGAATATATATAAATATATATATGAAAACAGCGGAATATGTTAAAACACAGAAGTAAATTAAAATCACAGCATATAAAATCATAAATCCTCAGAACATAAATGTTAATAAGAGATGGTGGCGTCCTCTCAACATTGGAATGGCTGCCTACCTTCATAGCCAGAAAGAGTCCAAGAGGTCTGAGTCCAAGCCAATGGGGTATTTCATTCTTCTCTCTTGTAGACCCCCCCATAGCTTTTTCCCCTGTTGCAAGACGGTTTACAGTCTCTGTGGAACTGCAGCTTCTTCCACATCCCTCGTGGTGATTCTTTCTCTCTGTGGAAAGGAGGCATCCCAGAATGGATAGTTCCTACCATCTGTTCTCAGAGACAGGACTTGATGCCTCTCTAGAGACAGGATCACCTCTTAGTTCCAGTCTTACCTTCTTCTGAGAGGGCAACAGCTTTGGTAACCCTGGCCCCTGCCAAACGGGGGGGGGGGGGGAGAGCGCGGGCAAAGTGCGGCTTTTGAAAGCCGCACCAAAAGAGACACGCGGTGGCGGGATCACAGAGATCCCGTGAACCGCCGCGAAGTTGCTCCCCGGCGCGATCAGATGCCGGGGAGAAAGCCACGGAAGGTAGCGCGAGGTCGCCAGCTGCGCATGTGTGCACATGCGCAGTTTGGCTGGGAGCCTCGATTGCTCTGGAAGACGGGCGCTCCAGCGATCCGACGGCTGCGCTTGCTGCGGCGTTTCCGGTAAGTCCTGCTCTGTAGGTGGGGTTTTTTACAGTGGATTTTCGGCCTGAAGGGCCGGCTGGGGACGGGTGCGCGCCGCTTCCCAAATGTTGTGGTTTGATCGCGCCCGTTTGCTGCAGCCCCGATCTGTCCCTCTTCCAGCCTTAAACCTCCCATGTGACCGGGACCTCTGTAGCTCAAATCCATCATGCCTTGTGGCCTACCTGTCTTTCCCTTCCCTAATGCTGAGAGAGAGAGAGAGAGAGAAGAGGTTTTACCCTTAAAGGAGACCCTAGCTTTAAAAGGAACACTGAGGTGCCCACCCATCTCCAGAGAAGCCTGATTGGGTTCCTTCATCCAAGAGCTTTTCAAGGGTCTCTTTCTTTCCAGGAAAGCGGCAGGCCTGGTAGCAGCCTGAGAGCCCAAACACTGAGATCTCCATAATCCTTCTATCCAACAAGATGGGTAGCCGAGTTAGTCCATCCGTAGCAGTAGAAAAGAGCATGAGTCCAGTATCACCTTAAAGACCTACAGAATTTGTGGCAGGGGATGCACTTTTGTGAGTCACAGATCACGTCTTTCCACTTGCCACTTCTTGCCACGAATTTTGTCAGTCTTTAAGGAGCTCCCGGACTCTTGCTCTTTCCTTCAATCCATGTGTAAGATGGGTCAATATCATGTTATTCATTCCATATTACAGGGGGGATGCTACCGTACATCCAAAGCAGGCCCACAGTAAAATGGTCGCCTATATCTGGAGAGGTTGCTTAAGAATCATAGAATCATAGAATGTTAGAGTTGGAAGGGACCTTGCAGGTCATCTAGTCCAACCCCCTGCACTCTGCAGGAGCATAGCCGAAAGATAGCCCTACATACCTATAACATACCCGAAAGATGGTCGTCCAGCCTCCGCTTGAAAACATCCAGCGAAGGAGCATCCACCACCTCCCAAGGCCGACTGTTCCACTGTTCAACGTTTAGTCATAGGCCCAGTGTTGATTAGCTCTTAAAACAGGGCTGCATGATTATGCATTTAAAGCACACAAAAGTGATAGGATTTCTTCATCTAGAGCAGTGGCCCTCAACCTTTTTGAGCCTGCAGACACCTTTGGAATTTTGACACAGCATTGGTGGGCGCAGCAACAAAGCTGTTGCCCCAGAGGGAGGAGCCAGCCATAAAATGGCTGCTGCAACTTACCTTCAGTCACACAGTGAAGATCCTTAACACAATGGCAGCAGCTGTTGCCAAAATAACATTGCTAAAAATCTGCACAGCCAATCAAATCTCCAGAAACCTTCCTGGGCAAAAGCCTCCCTTGCCCCACCCACTTCCTCAAAACTCTTGTTAGGCACTATGCTGGGGGACCCCTGATCTAGAGGTACAGCTGACATCTGCAGCCAGTGTGTACAGTTCTGAAATACTCTGTTTTTGCTTGAAGCTGCAGTTGAGTTCTCTCTGATCTGTCTCAGTTGCTTTTCTAAATCATACACTGAATTTCCACAAGACGGCAGAGTAGTATGCATTTAGCATATTACCAGGCTCGTAGCTACAATGGGGCACCTCGGGGCTAGCCCCCCCCCTTGCTGGCAAGGCCCCCTGACTTCTCATCCAGTCCAGGGCATCACTGCCTTCTTCCCTGGATTAATTTGATTAGTTGGTGCCCCCTAAGAAATTTAAAAGTCCCCCTTAAAAATCCTGGTTACGGGCCTGCATAGTACTCGTTTCAGACTTGAAAGCTGGACTGTGTTTAGTGTTCTTCATCTTGCCATGTAATTATATAGCTTTAATTTTATATGTGCATTTTGTGATAATACAATCTCTCTGACATGCAATATGAAAAAAAAAATCTCTCTCTACAGCATAGTAATATCTGGCCCCCTGATGGGAAAATAAGAAAGCGGTCGACGAGGAATAATCCCAGAATTGGTGGCTTGTCCTTAATACCTATCCAGCACGAGAGGAGTCCTCCCGAAACTAAAGCCAGTGATTTGGAGGTAAGTTAGTGGCTCAGTTTGGTGGTCACTATTTGTGTTACTAATTTTTTTGGGGGGGTGTTGGATCAGTTGATATCTAAATGTTAAACCAGTTGATACTTTAATGTAGACTGGTGTAGGAAAATGACTATCTCCTTCTATCGGTATTAGAGAGGGAAACCAGCCCTGACCTGGATAGCCCAGGCAAGCCAGATCTCATCACATCTCAGAAGCTAAGCAGGGCTGACTCTGGCAAGTACTTGGATGGGAGACCTCCTTGGAATACCAGAGGTGGGAGGCGGGGTCAGTCACCAGAGGTTGCCCTGACTTCCAGGTACACACACACACGCAATTTTAAAAAAATAATATTAGAGAGGGAAACTGTTAGGGCTTTCAGGTAAAAAATAGAGATAATAAATTCAGCAGAACACTTGTATTAGCTTTTTAAAAAGAAACTTAACTTCACTAATGAGAGAAGGGTCACTGGGAAATACTGCAAACAAAACAAAGGATTAACATCCTCTCCGACTTCACTGATCTACATCTTTGACTCTCTAAAGTCTAAACCACACATGCTAGCCCCAGGCAGAGTTGGAGACAAAGAGCAATAAACTTCCTAAGCCTCCACCCCCCTGGGGCATCTTCTGATCTATTGATTACCCAATTGGAGAAACCCAAACCTAACTAATTATGCATTTTAACACCTTGTTCTGGTAGCAATGCGTGCATGGTCTGCTATTGGGTCTCCCTCTAAACAGCTAGGATATCAGCATGCATTAAAAAAACATGTAAATTCTTCCGTGACTTCAGGGAGAGAACTTGCAAACTCCAGCAGAAACCAACATTACAACCAAGGGAGAACATTTAAATTTGAGTCCAGTAGAGTTTGGGGAACAGCGTTCCGTGCGCCTTGGTGTTTAGCCATGCCGGCCACATGACCACGGAAACGTCTTCGGACAGCGCTGGCTCTTCGGCTTTGAAACGGAGATGAGCACCGCAACCCTAGAGTCGGACTCGACTGGCTTTCGAGCAAGGGAACCTTTACCTTTACCTTTAGAGCTTGGGGAGGGGTTGGGGACAAGATTTTCAGGGAGTGTAGGTGATTCTGCATCTAGCATTCGCTCCACATTTTCTCAACTGGGAGGAGAAAGTGCAGCTCAAAACCACATTCAGATACCTCGTAGTAATGCCGTACTGACTGCAACGTCACCATAAAATGGTCATAAATCTGTGCAGAAGGCACCATGAAACCCGATGATCAAAGAAAGTGAAAATGGCATGCAGTGTGGTGGGAACCATAAAATGTAATTTATTTATTTGTTTGTTTGTTCAATTCATACCCCACCCTCCCCGCCGAGGCAGGCTCAGGGCAGCTTACATAAAAGTAAATGCATAAATAACAGTTAAATTTCCCATCAAATGATCTAAAGACAGTCCAGTTATGAAACAATTCAATATCGTAAAGTGCTAGCGGTGTCTATTTAATTGCTTAACAATGGTGGTACCCTATGGATGCATTTGGAACATCCAACTAGGTGTTCAGCTCATGGATCTTTCCCTGATATAATCGGCACAGGCACAGGCTGTGGATGGCAAAACCGAGGGCCAGGGCTCTATAGGTTTCGGTTGTTGTTGGTAGTGGTAGCGGTGGTGGCTCCTGTTGTGTCCGCTGACCGGCACTAGGGCCAGCGATTACCCCAGAGCTTGACTCTGGGAGAACAATAGGGACTAGGCTCCTAGTCCCTCCACTGGGGGAGCCAATGGGAACCGTGGCGGGAGATTTAAACCCACCAACGGAAACCAGGGGTGTGTCCCAGGGGTGCATATAGTTGGCCAGCCGGCCATTAGTCCCTGTTCTTGTTGTGTACCAATAAAGCGTGCTATGCACTATGCCAGTCTTTGTCTGTCATCCATGCGGCAAACCCACTACACAATAGCTCCTTCGTCGGAGGCCTGGTGGAAGAGCTCCATCTTACAGGCCCTGCAGAACTGTAAGAAGTCCCGTGGGGGGTCATCAAAGAAAGCGACAGCAGCCTGCAACGCAGTGGGGAATTTCTGTTCCAACGTGGGTTTGGTCAAACAGCGGAGGGAAAAGCCAATGCAGAATCGCCCTCTGTCTGAAGAAGGGAGCTTAAACTCTTGATAGCTTATCCCCTGAAACTATTGCTGGTCTCTATTTATTCTGTATGCTATATGCTCATTTTTGGAATGATAAAATGTTTTAAATGTTTGTTAGATCTTTGGTTTGGTTGCTTGGTTGCTCCTAAATCCACTTGGGGATTTTCTTTGTCACTTTTTTAAGTAAAAGTCTTATTCTGGGGGGAGGCACCCATTAGAATTACATGAAAGTCATTGTACTTTGGAAACTTTAATAGAGCCATCAAAGAATTCACATTTGTTCTCTGCCATATCTCTACTCATTCCCCAAAGGACACAGCTGTTTTTGAAATGTATATCCTGAAATTGCAGTAAATAGGTCTAGTGGTAGATTAAACCTCATCTGGAGCTTAAGAGCCATATATTGCTGTTATAATATTGTTCAACTTGAAGGGGAAAAATGGGCTGGAACCATAGCAACAGAGCCCTACTCATCTTCTGGCAGACATTCCAGGTCTAATGGGATTTGTCTCTCCAACATACATGTCTTCCAAGATGAATCTTGAGTCCCACAGGAGTGCAATTGTGTCTAGATGGGGGTGGGGGAAATGTTATAGCTTTATATGGGGACACAACAGATGGGCTTGTCTATGTAGATCCGATTCGTATTTTGGTGTGTCGGTATGGTAATACAGAAGAAACTTTCCATACATTATGAACGATTATTATGATAACAATATAAACTTCTGTTGACTTTTAGAAGTCTTCCTTCTCTTGCTCTCATTTATAGAATAGAATCATAGAATCATTCAGAGTTGGAAGGGGCCATACAGGCCATCTAGTGCAACCCCCTGCTCAATGCAGGATCAGCCTAGAGAGCATCCCTGACCAGTGTTTGTCCAGCCGCTGCTTAAAGACTGGCCGTGAGGAGGAGCTCACCTCCTCCCTAGGCAGCTGATTCCACTGTTGCACAACTCTGACTGTCAAAAAGGTTTTCCTAATATCCAGCCGGTACCTCCCTGCCCTTCATTTAAACCCATTCTTGCGAGTCCTCTCCTCTGCTGCCAACAGGAACAGCTCCCTGCCCTCCTCTAAGTGGCAGCCCTTCAGATACTTAAAGAGAGCAATCCTGTCGCCCCTCAACCTCTTCTTCTCTAGACTGAACATTCCCAAGTCTCTGAAGTCTAATCTAGCTGTTCTTTCTCTTTGTGTAACTAGTCATCTTGTGCCTTTCCCTTATAGAAGCCCAAAGTTAAATCTTGCATTCTCTAAGTATCCCGATCGTCCCTTATTGTTCAAATACTGTTGGAGTTCTTTACTTCCTGATGTCCCTTGGGTTTCTCCTTTACTGTGTTTTAAACTGGTTGAAAACTAATCTGTATCCATGCAGGCAGAGCTGATGGACTCTTTTATTTTGGAACATCCACCTTATTGGTGGGGGAAGGCGAGAAGACTCCCCTAGCTCTGTTTAAGGGGAGGGACCAGGGAACACAGTGGACAGAGTTTTCTCAGGGCCTCCTTACCGACATGGTAATTTGAACTCTGGAAGAAATCCTTGCCTGTGGGAGAGATTCAGATCAAACATGGAACCCTTAGATGTAATACGCCCATAGAATGGTTATTTATGTTCGTTTTAAAACCCATGAGTGATAGTTTCAAAGCTGTATTTTGTCTGACATTTAATTAATTTATTTTTTGCTCATCTTTAATCAGAATTCAAAAGTGGAACCCGGAGGTGAGTTAGCAGAAGACAAGAAGGGTTTGAAACAAAAGGCGTCACTGGTCGCACAATGCCTGGAGCGCAACGAGGACAAAGCTCGGAGCCGCGAGAGGAAATACCGAAGCCTGATCTTTTTAGAGGACGCAGGTGAAAACGTGGTGGACTGGCCCCAAAACCCCGCCAAGGAATCTCCATCTCCAAAGAGAAGCGAGAACAGAGCCAGTCAGATGCCTCTGGAATCTGCTAAGCAGTTTCCGGCAGATGTTATCCAAGAACTCAGCACCATCCTGCAGAAGCACAAATCCGTCCACAGAGAAACTTAGCCGCAGTCCTTCAGGCCTGGTTGTCCAAAGAAATGATATATATATATATTTGCCCAGTGTACAGTGTAAAGTCTGTCCAATGTATTTATATGTGAATTTTCATGGAAAACGGACGGTGGATGCTGCCAACTGCTGGGCCCTCCATGTGTTTACGTAAATGTGGTGGCGATGCTTGCAGGTTGCCCCCCTGCCACTTCTTGTTGATGCTTGTCTGATAGCCGATTTCTTGAACCTGGGAAGAGTTCTGAATACTAACCTGCTTGGGGTTGCCCACTTGACCGTCAACTATGGTACATGCTAGTATTTCCGTGGTTAACCGTCACAGTCACATTGGCCATGAGAACTGTGGAAAATGTTTAGGCTCTGGGAAGTCAGAAGAACACGTTGGCAGTGCAAGGAAGCCGGCCAATCCAGAAAACTTAGGTGAAGGCTTAATATCTTTTGTTCATGCACTGCTCGCGTCACAGCCATCCAGGATCACACCAAGCTCTGGGCAAGACCATAGTCCAGCATAGTGTAGACTTGAAACTAGAGCATATTTGACGGAGGCTCTTTACGTCACCATCACAATGGTAGTCTCCCGAGTCATTGTATGTATGACAGGATTAAATCAAAATGATCTGGTCTATGCCTGCGGCAGAATGAGATGGCAAAAGCTTGAGGTTGTAGAATAAATGGGAAACTACCAGGCCGGGGGTGTGTGTGTGTGTGTGTGTGTGAATGTTGTTTGGTGAGCCAGTTTGGTGTACTGGTTAAGAGAGCGGACTCTAATCTGGGAGAGCAAGGTTTGATTCCCCACTCCTCCACTTGCAGCTGCTGGCGTCACCTTGGGTCAGTCATAAGTTCTGTCAGAGCTGTTCTCTCAAGGGCAGTTCTCAAGAGAGCTCTCTCAGCCCCACCTACCTCACAGGGTATCTGTTGTGGGGAGGGGAAGGGAAAGGGATTGTAAGCCACTCTGAGACTCCTTCGGGTAGTGAAGGGCGGGGTATAAATCCAGTCGTCATCTCTTTTTGAATGGTGCCTTGGCTGATAACCAAGCTTCCCAAGTACTTATCGTGATTCGGCGGGGGACAAAGACGTCTTCGCAGGATCATTCCTACGGGGACAACAGACGTGCCGCACCATGCCATCGCCAGGAAGTGACGCTGGATGACGCTCTGGCAATGGGGCTCGAGACTCGATGGTACCATTGAGTTTTCAGCCCCATTGCCAGAGCGTCGCCCAGCGTCACTTCCTGGCGACGGCATGCTGTGTTACAGGGAGGAATGGTCCGGCCGGGGACCATGTTTCCCCTGCTGGATCGCAGTAAGTACTTGGGAACCCTACGGATAACCCATGCCACAATTAAATAGAACAAGCACACTATGGAAAAGGTTCTAGCCCAGCCCTTCCTGTGCTAGTGTCCTACTTGCAGGGTTCATGTTCTTTTTAAATATGCTGGGACCATTCAAAAGTGTGATCCCTCATCTGCAGACGGAAATAGTGTGGTCCTCTTAACTGTTTCAGTCTGCCAGATGAGAACACCAGCATTTCGATAAGGGTATTTTAGCAATTTTACCAAAAAGCTTGCAATATACAAAGTCAACTGCATTTTCAAGGATTTGTATCTATCTATGCCTAGGTTGGTGCTGACAGCAGAAGACCAGAAAGTAAAAATAAATGACATAAAATATTGGCCTTTGTGTTCATCATGTGAGTGGGAAAATAAATAAATAAATGAGGAGGTAAAAGGAGAAAGAAGGGAGTTATGGGATTTGCCACTGAAGGATGGGGATAAAATTGCTATTTTCCCTTGATATTTGTGTCTCCTCAAGCCAATGGTCTTCAGCCTTTCCACACTGGGACTCACTGAGCTGCAAGCCCATGACAGGAAGTCACATGACCAGAAGAGGGGGACAGAGTTGTGACCTCACCAGTGTCAAGGCTAGTACCATGGACAGCAGACCAAGAAAACAGGACAGGAAACACACACAGAACAACACCTGGAGGTATACAGTGGTGAGGAACAAGTCAAAGATCAGAGCCATGGCAGAGTCCTTCCCACCACTATATCTATGCTAAAGCTAATATGCCTTGAAAAACATCACTACCAGAGGAGACGGGCGGCATGAGAAAGGCTCACTCACCTGTGGCATTTCAGCCATAGTATATGCCTAATATGCAGTACTAAGAAGTGAACATGTCTAATTTACTGGGAGCATAGCCTTGCATGGTAAGGCAAATTTGAGTCTTGTAGCTGGGAGCAATGCAAACCATTGTCTGTGCCAGGAAGTCAAATGCCATTCACACATAAAACCCAGAAGTTGGTGAACAAATATATGCCTACCAGCTGCATTGGCTAAGCTACAGCGACGTTATGGAATGTTCATGAGCATTCCAACCAGTGAGTGAGCTGATTAGTAATGTTGACACACAGCTCAGCATCTGATGGGAAAAACCTCCCAGGGCATAGTTTCTCCAACAACTAGAGCTGAACTGCTTCTTACAGAAGTGCCTGCCAATTTGCAATCTATGCCTGCAAAACTTGAGCTGGTAAGTCAACAGAGGCAATTATTCCCTTCCAGTGAGCTCTGAGGGTGATTGTAGGATGGAGGTTTGTTTCCACATTAGACAGCATGCTGCGGTACTTGAAAACTGAAAAAGTGTGTCTTATGAGGACTTTCATCCTGGCTTTAAACCTCTTATGTGGGTGGGGACAAGAACTACTCCAGGTAGTAGGGTTCAACCAGTTTTGAAACTTCAGCTACAGAGCTTGGGGTGCTTTTGGATTAACAATCAAGATTTGGACGTTACCCAGAACACCTTTTACAACCTACAACCCCCCCTCCTGGTGAAAGCTGACCTTCCTCAGTGACATCTAGGCTTGACTAGCCTTATAGCTTTGGAAAAAGTGCAGAAAAGGGCGACTCGAATGATAAAAGGGTTGGAACACTTTCCCTATGAGGAAAGGTTAAGGCGCTTAGGGCTCTTTAGCTTGGAGAAACGACGACTGAGGGGGTGACATGATTGAGGTTTATAAGATTATGCATGGGAAAGAGCAGGTAGAGAAAGAGGTACTTTTCTCCCTTTCTCACAATACAAGAACTCGTGGGCACTCCATGAAATCGCTGAGCGGTCGGGTTAGAACGGATAAAAGGAAGTACTTCTTCACCCAAAGAGTGATTAACACATGGAATTCACTGCCACAGGAGGTGGTGGCGGCTACAAGCATGGACGGCTTCAAAAGGGAATTAGATAAGCATATGGAGCAGAGGTCCATCAGTGGCTATTAGCCACAAGGTATAGATAGGGACTTTGGGGCAAGTGATGCTCTGTCTTCTTGGTGCTTGGGGGGGGGGGGTCAACAGTGGGAGGGCTTCTATTGTCCTGGCCCCACTGGTGGACCTCCTGATGGCACTGGTATTTCTGGCCACTGTGTGATACAGAGTGTTGGACTGGATGGGCCTTTGGCCTGATCCAACATTGGCGTCTCTTATGTTCTTATGTTCTTATGACTAAAGTAATGGGGCTACCCTAGAAGATATCTCTGAAACTAACATTGGTACAAGATGTGCCACCTATGGTTCTTACTGGGATGTGCCACTGTGGTATGGCTAATTCTATGCCATCTACATGGACTTCCAACTTGTTTCGGGACCCAGTTCTAACTGCTGACTTTGAACCTTGAAAGCTGTAAAGGACATATGTCCTGAAGGTCCATCTTTACATGTATTGTCATACCTGGATTTCGATACCAGCTCAAGGGACCAGTCTTAGAGAACCAGCCTTAAATGAAATCCTTTGCTTGGCTGGGACTTCTTCTGATGCTGGCTCACCTATGGAATACCTTACCCTGGGAGTTATCCCATCACATCCCATTGGATCTTCCGGACTTTCTTATCTACCAGACCTACCATTCATATCGAGGGCTTGCTAAGCTTCGTGCTTCTGGAGGAGGGGATGGCTTCTGCTCTTTATTGTCTCAGTGATTGTTGCTTTTGTTCTTTGGCTTTAAATAGTAATGTAAACCACCTTGGGAAACATACGGTGGAGAGGTGCTCTAGCAATATAATAAATAAATGCCGTACAAGGCTTGCCTATGATACCATCACCACCTTAATTTAAAATCGCTCTAATCACTTTACGCCTTGGTCTAGATGGCCCAGGCTAGCCGAATCTTGTCAGATTTCAGAAGCTTAAGCAGGGTCAGCCCAGGTTAGTACGCGGATGGGAGACCACCAAGAAAGTCCAGGGTTGCTAGACAAGGGCAGGCAATGGCAAACCACCTCTGAACATCTCTTGCCTTGGAAACTATGGGATCGTCATAAATCAGATGAGACTCGGTGGCACTTTAAGGCAAACCGAACCAGAGCCTTGGATGTTTGGATCATACAAAGCTCTGTGTATCCACTGTAGCTGCTGGATCAGATATTTTTTTTGAAAAATAGTATAACAGAAGACCCACAACATCCCATTCAGAGCACCTTTTCAGCCCAAATGACAGAGGTGCTTGTACAGTTCCTTGCCATTAAATCAAGAAGCTGTTCTGAATGGGATGCTCTCTGTCTTTTGTTTAGCTTTTTCAGAATTATTTGATGCAGTAGCTACAGTGGATACTGAAAGTTCTGTAGATGAGGGGCTGCTCCATTCTCTTCAGTGCCAAAGAATACTCCATGTGCCAAGCATTTTGCACCATAGTAATCAGTGGGGCGCCCTTTTCACATGAGGACCTCTGAGTGCCCATTAGAGCCCTCCAAAGCTTTGGATTACAGCCAGTTTTCCCAGTAGCTCAGCATTGTAAAAAAATAATCCTTCTTCGATATGTTTGTACTTCATTTAAGAGTACTCAGTGGTTCCTTTGCAATCACCGTCATGGTATTTCACTTGCTTCTCATGCTCAGTAGCAGTGAATGATTCAATGTGAGACATGAATGCTGGAATAGATAAAACAAATTTTACATATTGTGATACAAGGTTCTCGGTGGTGGTTTTGGTGGTTTCTAATTTTGTGTGTGTGGGGGGGTTGTTTTTAGTTTTAAGGGTCCCCCCCCTTGGAATACAGCACTAATATAAATTAGAAGTGTGCTGGAAGTTCTTTGCTTTCCCTGATTTTATTGTGTCCTCAAGTACAAAGGTAAGGCTGTGTTATGAGAGCAGAAATAAACCTCAAAATACAACATCAAGGAGCCGAAAGAAGAAATTGGTGAAAAAAAACCCAGATAAACGGGGGGGGGGAGTGTGTTATAGATCAAGATGGGTAACCGTTCGAGTAGAAAAGAGCAAGAGTAGAAGAGAGCAAGCCGGATCTCCGTTCCTGTGCGTTCCTGCCCAAAAATAGCCCTGGGTTTGTTTGTTTTTTGTCAAAATCTCATGTTGACAGAAGGTATCTTGCTTGGGACCTAAGTACTCATGGGGTCTAACACACCATAGCCAGGTGACACCACAGCAAAATCCCTTGCCAGATAGCCACCTCTGATGGTGGGGATACTTGGAGACGGTCTCAGGAGGTGTTCTCAATTCATTGAAAGCTTCATATAGGATAAGGGGATCTATAGTTTCTCAAGATGTTTAAATCTTCCAAAAAGTCAACATTCGAATTTTCAGTTGTGCCTAGAAACAAACTGGAAGCTAGTGAAGAACTCAGGAGCCGTTCTCAATTCATTGAACACTTTGTGTGGGATAAGGGGATCCATAGATACTCAGGTTGTTTAGATCTT